TGATCCGCCCGTCTCGGCCTCCCAAAGTGCTGGGATTACAGGCTTGAGCCACCGTGCCCGGCAATTATTCACTATTAACTGCCTCGAATTAGGTCTTTCTGTGTGTGTGTGTGTGTGTGTGTGTGTGTGTGTGTGTGTGTGTTTTAAATACAGCTCCTGGGCGGGGCGCAGTGGCTTACGCCTGTAATCCCAGCACTTTGGGAGGCCGAGGCAGGCGGATCACCTGAGGTCGGGAGTTCCAGACCAGCCTGACCAACATAGAGAAATCCAGTCTCTTACTAAAAATACAAAATTAGCCGGGCATGGTGGCAAATGCCTGTAATCCCAGCTACTCGGAGGCTGAGGCAGGAGAATCGCTTGAACCAGGGAGGCAGAGGTTGCAGTGAGCCGAGATCATGCCATTGCATTCTAGCCTCGGCAACAAGAGCGAAACTCAGTCTTAAAAAAAAAAGAAAGAAAGAAAATACAGTTCCTTAGCAATTTTGTAAGTGCTGGCTAAACAACCAATTTTGCTCACTTAATTTTCATAACAGCCCTGTGAAATTGCTATTACTTCTGCCTATCCCCTTTCTTCTTCTTTTTTTTTTTTTCCCATTCTGTTGCCCAGGCTAGAGTGCAGTGGCTCAATCTTGGCTCACTGCAACCTCCACTTCCCTGGTTCAAGCAATTCTCTGCCTCAGCCACCCGAGTAGCTAGGATTATAGGCACCCACTACCATGCCCGGCTAATTTTTTGTATTTTTAGTAGAGATGGCGTTACCATCTTGACCAGGCTGGTCTTGAACTCCTGACCTCGTGATCCACCCACTTCGGCCTCCCAAAGTGCTGGGATTATAGGTGGGAGTCACAGCCTGGTGCCTGGTCTCCCCTTTCTTCTTACAAATGAGCAAACAAGAATAGACAGGGAGAGACTTGTCCGAGACCCTACAGCCTGTAAGTGGCAGAGCTAGACTGCACTCAGGTCTGGCTCCAAAGCTTGTGTCTCCAAAGTCTCTACACTGTAACATGCTGCCTCAGCACCTACTTCCAACCTATTTTTGCAGGGAAACTTGCATCTTTTCAAATGAGCATTTTTTTTTTCTTTTGAGACAGAGTCTCGTTCTGTTACCCAGGCTGAAGTTCAGTGGCACAATCTCAGCTCACTGCAACCTCCGCCTCCCGGGTTCAAGCGATTTTCCCACCTCAACCTCTAGAGTAGCTGGGATTACAGGCACACACCACCACACCTGGCTAATTTTTGCATTTTTGGTGGGGTTTTATCATGTTGGCCAGGCTAGTCTCGAACTCCTGACCTCAGGCGATCTGTCCACCTCGGCCTCCCAAAGTGCTGGGATTACTGGGGTGAGTCACCACACCCAGCCCAAACAAGCATTTAAATAAGGCAAGCTATCACTGGATTTCAGATTTAGAGAACTACTTGGGTAGGCCAGAAAAACAGTCAACAAGTAGTTCCTAACAACAGAAAAAGGCTTTCTTTTTAAAAATAAGCATTAAAACCCCATCTGACTCCCTGCAAGGAATGGTTTTGTGTAGATAGTTGCCACCTGTCAACGCAAGGCAGGGGCCCAGCATCTCAGAGTAGGACAGGAGAATTACCTGGTGTGGCCAAAACTCTAGCCAATGTAGGAATACTAAGCCAGTGTCCCCTGGCCTCAGCTGTCACGGAGCCAGAGAATTCAAGGGCTTGGGAAGGTAGCCCGATATACTACACAGGACTTCCCATGCCTTCTGCCCATTGTTCCAGTTCTTGTAGTCTGGAGCAACGCACAACATGTTCATTTCTTCATCCATCCACTCAATAACAGATACGGCCCGGGAGCAGTAGCTCACGCCTGTAATCCCAGCACTTTGGGAGGCCAAGGTGGGTGGATCCCTTGAGTCCTGGAGTTGGAGACCAGCCTGGGTAACATGGTGAAACCTCGTCGCTACAGAAAATACAAAAATTATCTAGGTGTGGTAGCACGTGCCTGTTGTCCCGGCTATCGGGAGGCTGAGGCAGGAGAATCACTTGACCTGAGAGGTGGAGGTTGCCGTGAGCTAAGATCACATCAGTGCATTCCAGCCTGGGCAACCAAGTGAGATACTATCTCAAAAAAAAGAAAGTACCTGACACCCACTATCTGCCAGACACTGTGCTAAGTGCTAGAAATGTACTGGAGAACAAAATAGACAAGTTCCCTACCATAATGGACCTCACAGCTTGAAGGAATTGCCCAGAATGAGTCCAGGGTCTCCCCACAGTATATCAGCCCTTCAGATACTTAAAGATATTTCTCATGTTCTCTTTAACCTTCGTCTTCCCACTGTTTTCAATCATTTAGCATGACAAGCATAAAATTCTGGTTATCTACGTCCATGTTATCCAGGTCCTTCATGGGTTAATGTCTAACACCTGAAAGAAATCCAATAGGCCAACACAAAGCATAATGGGTTGTAATGAAAGGACAACACTGTTGGAAGGATAAGAGATGATAAATGGCTGGGTCCATAGTAAGCACTTAGGAGATTATTTAGTGCTATGATTTTTTATTATTAGTATTCTGTCCAGAGGTAACAGAATTTGATGAAGATTCTGCCAGCTAGTCAAGTCACCTACACATAAGAGCAAAGCTATATTTCCTTCTTCTTTTTTCTTTTTCTTTTTTTCTGAGACGGAGTCTCACTCTGTCGCCTAGGCTGGAGTGCAGGGGCGTGATCTCAGCTCACAGCAACCTCTGCCTCCCGGGTTCTGGCGATTATCCTGCCTCAGCCTCCCAAGTAGCCAGGACTACAGTGCCTGTCACCACACCTGGCTGATTTTTTTTTTTCTTTTTGAGATGGAGTCTTGCTGTGTCGCTCAGGATGAAGTGCAGTGGCATGATCTCGGATCACTGCAACCTGTGCCTCCTGGGCTTAAGCGATTCTTCTGCCTCAGCCTCCAGAGTAGCTGGGATTACAGACACCCGCCACCACGCCTGGCTAATTTTTATATTTTTAGTAGAGATGGGATTTCACCATGGTGGCCAGGCTGGTCTTGAACTCCTGACCTCAGATGATCCACCTGCCTCGGCCACCCAATGTGCTGGGATTACAGGTATGAGCCACTGTGCTCGGCTTTTTTTTTTTTTTTTTTTT